CACTCCAGGGTTCGATTAAAGGCATAACAAGACCACCTCTTTAAGCAGGTCTCCGTACACTTGTTTGGTCCACTTCTGCTGCGCTTCTAGTGTGACTGCCCAAATGAAGTGTGCCAAAAGGGAAAACGAACTCTAGTGTTATTCAACTAAACTAAAAAGAACTAAACACTTGAAAATTACTAAGTTAACTCTAAAATTGTTGAAGAATTGAAGTAAAATTAGTTCAGGTTTCAATCAACTGGTCGTGTTTTTGAATAATGTTTAATTTAATGATTAAAATAGACCAGAAGAATTTAAGAAAAACAAAACATATTTCATAGGGATAAGTTAGCATTAAAAATAAAATGATCCTAGAACGCTTTAATTAACCAATAAAAGTCAAGAAATTCATGTTGTGTAGTGTGATGTGTGCATCACAGTGGAGAGTTGTTGATGTGGGGCGATCGCATCTCATATCCGGCGGCAAGCTGGAGGCAAACTACGCCTAGTCTTAACATTAATGCGTTATTCAATCTGACTATTGAAGAAAAGCCGCTGTGTTCCAGGAACACAAACTCTAACATCATCAATGAATATATGTAAGCAAATAGGACCAACCAAAAACAAACATTCCATTGAAAATGGCTGACTAGAGAGTGCTGCATACCAAAGAAAAAAAAAACTGCTCTCATACAACAGCAACAACAATGCAGAAACCACTCTAGGGCACATATATGTCAATAGACTTAGATGGGTCTCAGATGAGTCACTTCAGCCCCCTCAAGGATACAAACGAGCGATAACAGAGTGTATGCTACACCAGAAATGTGTTATGCTATGGCAGACCATGAACTGCCTTAACAGTTGGCTTTTCTGGCAGCTCATTTCACATCGTTCTAAGATAATCCTGCTCAAAACCAATGTATATTATCTGCATGTGAGTAAAAGTGTTTGTGCTGAAACTAACAGGAGAGGAAATCTCTTGTGTGCATTAAACATACAACATTATGCAAATTTAAGCCTGTTTTCATGTAGTAAGACAAAATAATATAGGCCAACTCATCTGAATACAGTTTCCACATTTGCAGGCCCAAAAGAGTAAACACAGTCCCAATTCTACAGAAAAATGCCCGATTTCCAAATGAAATATGTGGTTAAAGCCAGAAATATTAGACCCCTGTAACTTTTTCCCCCCAATTTCTGTTTAATGGAAAGAAGAACATATTTCTAAACGTGATAGCTTTAATAACTAATTTCTAATAACTTATTCTTTAATCTTTGCCATGATGACAGTACATCATATTTTACAAGATATTTTTCAAGATACTAGTATTTAGCTTAAAGTGCAGTTTAAAGGCTTAATTAGGTTAATTAGGCAAGTTAGGATAATTAGGCAAGTCATTGTATAACGATGGTTTGTTCTGCAGACAATCGAAAACAAATATCGCTTAAGGGGGCTAATAAAATTGACCTTAAAATTAGTTTTTTAAATGTAAAACTACCTTTATTCTAATCAAAATAAAACAAATAAGACTTTTTCCAGAAGAAAATTATTATATTATAGAAAACATTTTGAAAAATTCCTTTGTCTGTTAAATGTTATTTGGGAAATACTTAAAAAAATTCACAAGACGGCTAATAATAATGACTTCAACTGTACGTTTCTGTGCATGATGTGAGTATGTGTGGGACGGGTTTATGGGGGTGTGGAGGCCATTCGCATGAATCACAGACTTGTCGCAGTGAAGCTCAAATCAAGCAAAATCAGTTTTCGAAATGAGACGAAATGAAGGCCCTATGTACATCTACTATTGAGGACTTTTAAAGAGCAGCAAAATGTAATGTTAGCGCTGATATTGTGTAAGGTCCAGCCAGCTAGTCCAACCACGTTGTCTACTGGTGGATGAAGGTTCACTGCCTGTTTGGCCTTTTTTAGTGCACAATGTTGGTTTACTTTAAATTTAACTCATATCTGATTCCAATTTTAGTATGAGGTGGTTTAGAATATTAATATATTTATCCTTGTTTTATCTGACTCAAATTATAAAACATTGATAAGATTATTTTGTTTCTTTTAATATTACTTTAGATTATGATTGAATATTCGCTTAGATTCGTTGTTGTATATTATTCTCGTTCATTCGGATTCCTATAATATCTTGTACCGGCCGAGTATACAATCTCCTAAACACAAGCATGTCAGTCCTGGTCACTAAACAGAGGTGACTAACCACTATTCTAAAAAGGCAAAACCTTACTTACTCAGATTAGAATTTTTTTTGTGTGGTCCCCATAGATCTACTATCTACTAAATCAAAAGTTTAGAGATAAAGGTCTATTTCCTTAGATAGCCTTTTACAGTCTAAGTATACGTGAATTAATGTCAATGTGTTAGTCGGAGCTCTAAGAACATCTTATAGCATGCCACGCTGCTCTGTCTATCGTGTTTTAGTCTATTACTAACCTGTACAGGGGCTTGTGGTGTTAAGGACCTAACGTAACCTACTAGAGATAATAACATAAAATCTGTTTGAATAATTCAAAACATAATTTATTAGTCAGGTAAATGTGTATTATGCCAATTCATTCAGTCAATTCACAAAAAATCAATACAAGACATCACATTTTCAAAGATAAATTCAAGATCAAAATCGCCCGAACATGTTGAAACTTTCCCTTAAGTAGTCAAACTAAGGTGGTGTGTGTTTCCTATAGCAAAAGGCATTTGCATTTAGTGACATGATAAATCTAAAGAGTTTCTGCCGATAGGAAACAAATAGTCATTTGAATAAAGGTCCCCTAAGTAAAGGCGCACCCTTAGCAGTGCATCAAAATATACCTGAAGTAATATATTTATTGTTTTGATTATGTCTATTTCTGAGGGTATGACACCATTGTACCAGTCGCACCGAGACATTTCAAATGATATCAAACATGATAAAGTCACTTGGATTGATATAGAACCTTCATACTTTGAAATGACCATTCTGTGTGAGTATGAAGAGTTATATATATATATATATATATATATATATATATATATATATATATATATATATATATATATATATAAATAACATGTTTTCTGTCCTTTTTGTGTTGAATTACTTAATTTTAAGTTGGCGGTTCATTCCGCTGTGTCGACCCCGGATTAATAAAGGGACTAAGCCGACAAGAAAATGAATGAATGAATTCAAACAACAATATTGAACAAGAAATTTACTAGCTGATTTAACAAGACATAATTTTGTTAAAGTAAAGCTTTAGTGTTACATTGAGTAAATTAGAATCATTTTAATTAGAATAACACAATACAAACATTTTGAGTCAATTAGTTGCAAAGAAGTTAGACTGACATATTGAAACCATGTTTTATCTACAAATGTGCTTTGTGTTCATACAACATGTTCAAAGCAGTTCAGGTTTACTTGATTGGATTAGATGCATAAAGGGTGCCACGATTAAATCATGTTCATTCAACAATTTTTTTTTTTGAGTGTAGGTACAAACTTGTACCTTTCCAAAAGGAACCACCCCTGTGAAAGATCGCATACCTTTATTTCTAAGAGTTTGGTGTGGTTTATATATCAAATTATGCCTAAATATTTAAACATTTTTCCAGTTCAGTCTGTTGCATCCATAAAAACAAAATGAAAGCATTTATATAAAACAGAAAAAATTGTGGAGGGAGATATATTTCAATTCTGTGAAAAAGTGTAGTTTGTTTTACAAGCATGTTGAATAAAAATATGTCTATTAAATTACTAGTTTTGTCATAAACTTAATTCATGACACAAATTAATTATGTCAGCCTGAATTCTAACATTCCAACAAAACTGTTCTAAACAATAACAATTCCCTTGTTCAGTCTGTTGCAGTCATGTTTTAGGTCCAAAAGCAAAAATGCATTATATAAACTCCTGAAATATTCAAGAAGTTTCATTTTAAAAATTTCATTTAGAAAGTAAAGTAACTTTTCACCCCATGAGAGCCTCATCAGTTTTCTGATCATTACAAATCGAACATGTTGGAAAGAGACATTCAGTTTATCCGTGAGCTGTTTTTCAAAACCGATTTGGATCTAAAACAGTGAACGAATCATTCAGTCCGGTCCGTGAATGAACCGCAGCTTGATTTTGAGAGAACAGAACCAACCTATTAACAAACCTTGCTATGGATGCGACGCAAAACCAACAATTTCAAAGAATCCGAACCCTTAAAACTGACACTAACTCACACGCACTAATAATTAATGTCATTTCTGAATAGCACAGCGTTTCATCGTTCAGTCTTCATGCCACAGATGTAAGATGCGTGGGGGAGGGACGCGCGCGAGCTCCATTTTTACGCCCTCGTGCCTCGTTTGTCAGAAACCTTTAAATAATATACATCGCCAAATAAAAAGCAGAAATTCGACGGTCAAAGATCCAGCCACAATGCACACAAAAATACTGTCGATGGAGGCAGCCTGCTTTTTCATTTGCCACCGAATTGTGCAGATGCTGGTAAAACGGGGCCATCTCCTCTCCTTCTCCGTTACTGTGGAAACCATCATCATGCTGCTCCCGCGAATGCCAATTATCACATCCCCCAAAAAACTGCTTTATATAACGACCATCTCCCCAACACGCAGTTTACACACATACACAGAATGTGCCACAGTTGAGACTCGAGAAGAAAAGTGCTTGAACGATAAACCGATTGTTTGCTAACATCCAGCCTCAGGTTCCTTCAAGGGTTGCGTAGATGCATATTACACCAGCGTTAATAATAGAACACACACATATATATTTACACAGGCGATCGCTATCCACTGTTAACTCGAATATGGAATAACACACGGAACCTGCCATAAAAGCTCCTGTAATATTTAACATGGCATAATCTCAGGGTGAATGAATAATATGGGGCAGGGGAGGGGGCTGCTTTATGATCACACCTGTGCATGGGTAGGCTAATTCATAACAGCATCCAGGATAGAATAGAAGGGGAATATATGAGAAAAGTGCAAGTTAACTTACAGCAATTGGTTATGGCGAAGCTGTTTGCCACCTCCAGGTTATCAATGTGCGGAGTGAGGCGGAATTCTGCCGTGCCGAACTGGACCATTCCGATCCGAAACGCGCTGTACTCTTGATCTGCTCCTCTAGGGAACAGGCCACCTGAGAAAATAACGCATTAAATATCATATTTAATTAAATCGTAAAACAAATCACGACTTAAATAGCAGAAATGCACCAACTGTAACGTTTTATCACAGCAATCTCGTATGGTATTGCCTACAATTCAACATGACGTTTGGCATGTCATTTCAGTCAGCAGATATATCAAGAGATTTGGTAATTATCAAAGACAGCTGGAGAGCGTTTACCGATTTGGACGCTTGGAGATCCGCCGAGCGCCAGTCCCCATAACGCGGGTAAAAGGAGACCCGACAAAATCATCGTCTTCTGCTTATCCACGCGACCACATCCACCAAACGCGCACTGTTCACAAAACAGCGGGCATCATACAGGGTGGACACATGTTAAAACTGACCACAGCTGAAACGCAACGGCTCTCGGTGCTGGTGAGGGAAAGAGCGGGCGCGATGATGCGGGAGTCTTTCCCTCCTCCTTTGCGGCTCCGTCCCTGAGAATCGTTTCAACTCAGCGGACACGGTAAGAATACTGATGAAGACGAAAAGAGCCGAGCGCAGCCGAAGCTGCTCTTATTTCTGAACGCGGGTAGAGAGGCGCGCTCTCGCGCTGGGATGTTGGCTCAGCTGCTTGGCGAAATAGAATTGCGATTCGAGGAACCAATTCATTACTGTAACATATGTCGTTAGGTTATGAATTTATTGAATTAGTAAAAGCCTAATGTGTGCCTACTATAGGTGACAGATGTTTCTCTGCTATCCAATAAGCTTGGTCTCCCCCATTTTTTGAAACATAATGAACTTAACCACCTTCACTCCAAATAATCCAACATCAGGCTGAATAATCAATAACTGACATACCAGTAGGCCTATTACTCTGCTATCTGTTGAGAATTAGCTCATTTTTAGGCATGGTGGGTAGATGAAACTGCGACCCATGTATAAAATTGACAGTAGTTTAACATGGTTGCATAATGTTTTTAAAATATTATGCTGCTGGTTACATTAAATGATCATTAGCCTCATGATTCTCATTAGCCAACATTACCTTTTAACTGAACTTAATTCACAACCCTTTTTTTAAACAGCCAAGTCACTTCTGAGAATTCTTATTTTCATCAACAGTTAGCAGAATATCTGTCTTCTGGAAAACGTACATTAATTACATCTAGCCCATCTCAAACTCAGTTCCTGGAGGGCCGCAGCTCTGCACAGTTTTGCTCCAACTATAATTAAATACAGCTGATCATATTAATCAAGGTGTTCAAGACTACTAGACTGTTAAGCAGGTGTGATTTGGAGGTGGTTGGAGCTAAACTGTGCAGAGTTGTGGCCCTCCAGGAGTTTGAGATCATTGATCTAGCCTAGGGGTGGGAAAACGTAATCCTGGAGGGCCGGTGTCCAGCACAGTTTAGCTCCAGCTCTAATCACACATACCTGCTTATAGGTTTCTATAGTGATCTTAAAGACACTGATTAGCATGTTCAGGTGCGTTTGATTTGTGTTGCAGCTGAACTATGCAGGACACCGGCCCTCCAGGACCAAGTTTGCCCAACCCTGATCTAGCCTATGTGTTATTGATATTGTTTACAAATTGTAAAGCAAAAAAATGAAAAGCAGAAATTGAAATATGCATCACTCTTAACACATTTTACTGTTGGATGGACAATAAAACATTTAGCAGAATTAGTTTTTCTATTTGTTTGTGTTTCCACTAAATATTATTTCATTTCAATAATTATTGTCAGACCCCAGACTTTTATCTTGAGCTTGAGTTGAATCTGAGCCTAAATGTTCTCTGTGAGCCTTTTTGAAAATAAAGCACACATTCTAAAAATGATGTATTTTTATACATTAATTAAACAAAATAACTAATTAATTAATTAACCACAGACAGGCAGAGCAAGCATAAAGATCTTTTATGGATGAAACGTACACTATAAAAAAATCTTTAATTTTACGGTTTATTTCCGGCAGCTGGGGTAAAAATAATGGCTGTTAAATTACAGAAATTTGCTGTAAAATAACGGACATTAAATTACAGAAATTTCCTTAAATTTAAAATGAACCGCAAAATTACAGATTTTTTTTACAGTGTACAATATATATTTGATTTTTTTTAAATTGTCCTTAGACAAGAATGAGAGAGTGTTCAATAGTTTTAGGACAACTTAAAAAAAAGTTTTTGATAGACTCCAAATGTTGATTTTAGTTCTATTTAAAAATATTTACAAAAAACTTTTGAGAGCTTAATAGCGTCAGGGTGGCGCAGTGGGTAAATTGGCTAGGCTAAATTGTGCGTACTGTATGTGTGTGAATGGGAGTGTACACAGCAAATTCATCAGAGTTAAATTCTTGGTGTTGAAGCATTTGAGAGTGAAGTGTTGACGTTAAAGAGTTAGATTTTGATAAATGAATATAATTAGAGTTAGAATTGATTTTATTCAGTGCGAAATCAAGGAGTTATCTTTTCAACACTTGGTGGTGTTATTTCCAACATCCGGGAATTCATGCAGCCCTAGTCACTGAAGAATTTTCCAGACGCCATTTTCCATCTGAGGTTTAGAACAGCAACTGGTGAGTCAAACTACCTAAATGTTGGTATTTTACTGACTTTCTTTAAGGAAATACAGTTGTAAACATTTTGTTAAGTTAATAACTTTAGAATGGAGTGACAATTTTAAACTTCTGCGGTTCATTCATGGTCGTTTGTGTATCTAGCTTAACTGCATTACTATTCACTTCTTTTCAAGAATGTTTTTATATATGCTCACGCATACATAGTGCATAAAAACATCAAATGTACATGTTCAACACATTTCTGTCACGCTTAATGCAATTTTGTGCGTTGTTACCCATCTGTAAAATAAAATCGACACTTCTCCTTTAATTCCAAGCAAACTAGTGAGGGAATCCCCGGAGCCGCCTATCGTTAGCCTACTCTGCCTAACGGCAACACAGGACGGTTTCCATAAGCTCTGGAGAGTTTCTAAAACATATCTGGTGAGTAAATCAACATATGCTTACTTGTAAAAGGCTTCCTGACTGAAACAAATGATTGTTTGTTATTCGTGTACGTTAATTTGGTTATTTTAAACACCGCGGCCCTTTTAAACTGGTTCATTCGTGGCAGTCCATATACCGTTAGTCCATAACTTAGACTCGTGTGATAACGTACGCTTGAATTATATTAAGTGTTGACAACCATTAAAGTCGGAGTGTTAACATTAATGTCTTTAAATGACCGCGTTTGCACTTTATCAGACATTTAACGTTACAGAAGTCTCCCGGAAGTTGCGGGACTAACGTTAACGTTATCCCGCAAATGCACAGAGACTCCCAGATGCCCAAGTAGATGCCCGCAAATGAATGATAATCTCCCGGAAATCGCGCGTCTCCCGCCCGGTCATTAAACACTTTGCACGCCCCTCTCCACCGCATCCCTCCCAGCTCTTCAGGTACGTCGCGCGCAAGTCACCCCCACCGCTCTTCAGTTACGTCGCGCGCAACTCATCCCATTGCTCTTTAGGTACTCATCTCTCCCGCTACCTCCCGCAAATCAACTCTGTATCCCCCGAAAATGACTTTTCCCAACTCGGGATGTCTGACGTTAGTAAGTTAGGCTATTTCTGTTGTCAGGAACATCTTAGTCAAGCTTTTTCTCCCGCATGATATTGTGCTTAAAACTATAGGCTAAACTTAGCATGTACTGTACACAACATTTCCGTTTTATTAGTGCGTTGTAAAAAGCCACCTGTCTGTAAAATTAATCAACTGATTCATATTTGAGCAGCCTAATGATGATACAGGTTTGATTTGTAGATTTATTATCAATAATCAACATCTGAATCAAAAGATATGTGAAAATGTGTGAGGCATACTTTGTGATGTTCATCTCTCTTTTTTTATCTGAAGGTTATGCATATGTGTTTGATACTAATGTGTTGTTTTTTTTAACAGCCACAGTTCTCTGTACAATAACACAAGACCCATGTGACGGTGGCTGATTAGAGACGGATGGTGTATTTCCAGAGTTGGTGAAATGACCAAGCTCACCTTCTTGGTCATATGTGGTGATAATAATGAAGGTATGTTTGATAAAGTTCTGCATTTGTTTCACAATAAGCTGAGAGGGTATTAGAGCATTAGAGAATAACAAATGACATGAAGGTGATAAGTTTTGTATTGTGGGTGAACTGTTACTTAAATAATGTTTTGCTCTTTGCTCTGCACTTTTCCTCTTCTGCTTATCCTAATATTTTAGATTATATTTGGACCTGAAACATCTGCTAGACTCCAGGAAAGGTGGCCTCAATACTGGACCTGAAAGGGCCTAACAAGTTGAATCTGGTAAAGAAACACACACACACACACGCACGCACGCACACGCTTACAGAAAACTGTAAGTTTATGAATATTTTTTACACTGTGGCCAATATTTTGGGGAAGTCAGCATCACTAAATGATATAAAAGATTTTAAGCTCCTCTAAATTTTGCTCCAAGAGTTGTGTTAAATTCAGGATTCTGGACAGACAGCTGCCTGTTTTTCCAGTTCTAGTCATAGTGGTTAACCTAATTGTTTTTGGAGATCCAACAGTGATGTATGTGTTTTTTCTAATTTTCCATATCCTGTCACCTCAACCAGCTGGGAGAGTCAAGTTGTGGATCATCATGAAGATTTTCAAAAGGTGAGTTTAGATTTCTTGAATGTTTTATTTACTTTAAATATTCTTTTAAATATATCATAGAATTTGATTGCAATATGTTTTCAAACATTTTTCTTAGTCATGCTGGAGTCTTGAAGAGTTCTTAGATGAGCTTCACCCTATATCCGTGCATCAGGAACCACCAGACGAGCGATCAGCAGCTACTACTGTACATCGTCATGGATAAAAAGGTCATCCTGTGGCTGGGAAGCACATCTTTCACAGGACATGCTTGATGAGATTTCCTAGCTCCAGTTTGTTTTCACACAAGTTTACAGCATTTATACCTTCATTTAAACTGCTGTGTTTGATATGGAGGACCAAGGAAACACCAGAAGTGAAAGATTTGCACGCCAAGTTGTTTAAAATGTAATTTCAGAAGAAAACTATGAGTTCAGAAGAAAACTATGAGTGACGATATATTGAACTTTCAAATTGCTCTGATGAAACATCAAGTTTGGACATCATATTTTGTTGATACTGTCTGTACTAATAAAACATTTAAAGCATATTTGACATTGTTGCATTTTAAAAATTGAATGAATTGTTGAAGTTGTGAATGTTTTCAAATAAAATGTTTTTTATTTTGTAATTTACAGTCTATTTGACCTTTTTACCATATTTACACTCAAGAGAGTTGAATAAAATAACAATATATTACACCAGGTGGTGTTAAATATAGTTACATTTTTTAACTCTGCCCAGAGTTAAAATTAACCCTTACTTCGGTGTCAATGTGCCAACCCTTTTGAAAGTGTTGATTTAAGTCTGTTTTGAGTGGACCCCATGAGACACTTTCAAAGTGTTAAAATTAACA